GACACTCTCAACCTTAAAACACACTTTGACACGACACAAACAAAAGGGATTAGCAAGTTTGCTAATCCCCGGCAACAGCGCCAAAATTTGATGTGAAAATTAACTTGACACACAGATTAAACCCTATTTGTGACAATTGTAGTATATATGCAAGTAGGGATCGTTCTAAACCGGGGATTAACTAGGGATGCTAATCAACTCAAATAAGACTCAAAAACACTAAACTAGACTCTATAGACTCAAAAGTAACTTAAAACACTCAAAACAGCAACAAACAATTAAAAAGACTCAAAACTGACTCTATGGAGTTATTTGGACGAATTTTAACTAACGTAGACTCAAAACATTAATTTGGACATATTCAAATACTTTTCTAACTAATCTAACACACTTAATAAAAGGGGGAATTGATTTGGCCGAATTTAATTAAATTGGGTAGATTGTAAACTAAACAGATTAGACACTAAATTAAGTGAATCGAATGGGTAAAAGGCTAGTTAGAGGGTCATTCTCCACACATGCACATATGTAACACAAATTGATTTCCAGTTATTATCCCTTTAAACCATGAATGACAATACCCCAAATTAATTGTGAAAAGCACAAATTAACTTTCAGATTTTCCTAGTTTCATTGAATTGGATGGAATACGCATCGACAACCAAATTATTCTTATCAAATTCCCTACATGAACCGCATAATAGAGATAAAATCAAAGATCATTAAGCTTTTTGAAAACCATAAGCATTGACTGGGCATTCGTAACTATGAATTGCATGATACTTTTGCCTAGAATTTGCTTAACACAATCATGACTAGTGATTTTTACTACTTGTGAATATAAGTTCATAACGATTAGGTGAAATTCCCTTATATCCTAGCATGAAATTCATGCATGAAAACTAAGTATGCATCCTTAATCAACACACAAGAACAAGTTCTCAATAAATCAATTAAGTAAATCGCATTCACAATTCAAGAAACAAAATCTGGAGGAAATCAATTCATATAAAACATAAGTCCATGGCTTTGAATTCACCTCTAACTAAGAAAAACTTAGTTACACATGTTCATAACAATTGAAAAGCAAATTAAAATAAACATGGAAACGAAACTAGGGAAGAAAGAACTCTGAAAGTCTCCAATGGATGCAGATTTCTTGTGGCACAAGGGTCTCCTTCTCCTATGGAAGCCACGACACTCCTTCCTCTCCCTAGGGTTGCAGCAAAGGTTGTGTTTCTGAATGGATGGTGTGTGGTGTGAATGAATGAATGAATTCAAGGATGAATGGCTGCTTAGGGTGTCTAAAGGGATGTGGCACATTAAGGTTCCTATATATAGTGCACGGCAAAAACCCTAGGAATCAGAATTAGGGTTAAACCGAGCAGAAACAAGTGATTAGGGCCCCTAGGTTGTGGCACAAGACTTGGAAATTAAGTCATAGCCCAATTAAATTCAGATATGGACTTGTACAATCCAAATCCAAGAGGAAAAAGGGCCAATTTAAATCAGAATCCAAGAGGAAAAAGGTTAGGGAAATTCGTCCAAAATTGGGCCTTCTAGAAACTAGGTGTTTGTGGCTGATTTTGGGTTTTCTAGAAGAAATAAAAGGGGGAAGGCTGCGGCACCCTTTTAGGGTCAGATAAGGCTTCTAGAAATTATGTTTTTAGGTTCACTTGCAGCTAGGATTTAAGGTGGAACAAGATTAGGTTAGGATAAGATAGGATAAGGTTTGGATAAGATAAGGTTGTTGGGATAAGTTTCCATATTTCTTGCTCTTTCCTTATCTTCTTTGTCTTAAACTTGTCTTTTCTGATTTGTAGCATGTTCCTAGCCTCTTTTGACTCCAAATTCGTCCATTCACCTTGCTCCATATACAAGCTATCCATAATAAGCCCAAAACTGCTCTAAAAGGCTCAAAATTGCCTTTTCCTGCCAACTTTGTCATTAGGACCTACAAACACACGAAAATAGCTTAAAACACTATAATAAGTAGTAATTAGCTAACTAAATGTAAGGAAATAGCATAACTAAGTAGCATAAATATGCTCCTAATAGGTCATTGACCTTCGAGCTTATGTGGATGCGGTTCTTTCGACCTTGCCTCAGGAAGTCTCGACAGTCACGATAAACAGCTTTTGATCCTTCTGCTCCTTCTACAAGAAAGTGCCTTCCTCCACTTCTTCTCATTCGGGTTGAAGTAGCTGGGTCGAGAGAGGTCTCATGTTGATCAACACCTTGATGAGTAACTCGCTCCCCATTAGGGATATCCATGTTGAAGGCAGGTGATCCCCCGTGCTGGGGGGCACCCAGGTGGTGGTAGACTTCCACGGAGGCGATAAGTTCATGTGTTTAAGTATGCCTAGCTTCATAGAGCATCCCGAAGAGCTTCTCATACTGCTCCTAGAGGATCTCATTCTTTATCGCTATCCTCTAGCTCATCGATTTTAGCCTGAATAGCAAACTTCTTTCGTTCCTTTTTTCGTTGCTTCGCACTAGGTGCGAGGAGGGTGTCATTCTGCGTGATGTGGTTCCCTTCGCTCCCCATATTGGAGAAAGATGCCTGGTCGAAAGAAAGTGTACGAATGGTGGAAACCAGCTTGACAAAATTGGAGAGACTAGGAATAAGTGCGATTCCCACAGATGGCGCCAAATGTTGATGCACGGAATCAGCGAGGACTTTGGTACAACAGAAAGTGTCAAGTTTGTGACCTTCGCTAGATTGTTCCGGTCACCAGTGTGGATAAGTATGCAAAGATATAGAGACAGGGAAGCAAACACAAGATATACGTGGTTCACCCAGAATGGATACGTCCACGGAGTAAAGGAGTTCTCATTAGTTGTGAAGGGTTTACACAAAGACATAGGTTCAAGCTCTCTTTTAGTGAGTTCTAGTGAATAGTTTAGTACAAATGACATTAGGGATTATTGTGGGAGAATGATCCCCTTTTATAGAAGAGAGTTTCTAGCTTTGTTCTGACATTGACACGTGTCGTGCTGTGATTAGCCTCTGATATTGACACGTGTTGCGCTGTAATTGGCCTCTGATATCAAGACGTGTCGCGTTGTGATTAGCCTCCTGGTTGGAGGGAAAGTCTTGTGGGTCCTTGATGGTATACTGTTGACCGGTGCTCAGTAGTTGTGGGATTGGTCAAGTATGGTACAAACATTTTTTATTCTACAGAAAAAATTAAAATAAGTGGGAAAAAATATTTTTGTATTCATATTGCGTATCCTTGTTTATAATTTTTGGGTGCAGTATTTATATCATCAATTACCTATATGTCTTTTTTTTTTTTGGGTCCTAGAATGTACTCATATGTCAATAAATATTGTACCTACTTATGAACATGAATACATAACATGAGTCCATATGAGGTTTACCCATATGTTTTATTTTTTTTCAATCATAGAATAAACCTCGTATGCATCCATGTGAGGTTTATTCGAAGAAGGTACCATTGTTATATAGTAAATTTTTTGAAAGAGAATGTACCCAACCCAATGTTTTGTAGTACATTATTTTTTTTTGTTAAATTGATGAATGTACCCATAAGGCTGGTATTGATTTACCCAATGTTTTGTAGTACATTATTCCTCAAGGTTCTGGGTTTTATGGTTGGAATTGATGAATGATTGCGAAGATTATGATGATAAGGATATTTAAGAATTTAATCTACCCTTAATATTTAAATCACAAATTATGAGTTTTTAATTCCATAAATATAGGTAACTGCAATTACAAATTTTTAAATTAAAAAAAAAGGAGATTTTGGATGTGGTCCTTATTCTTCAATATTCTTCAATTGAAGCCTTATTGGTTTTCAATATTTGATTAAAGTTCCTGAATTATGTACACCTCAACAAAGTAGCATTAATGTATGATTTTTTTAATTTAAAAATTTGTAATTGCAGTTTCCTATATTTATGGAATTAAAAACTCATAATTTGTGATTTAAATATTAAAGATAGATTAAACTCTTAAATATCCTTATCATCATAATCTTCACAATCATTCATCAATACCAGCCTTAAAACCCAGAACCTTGAGGAATAATGTACTAGAAAACATTGGGTAAATCAATACCAGCCTTATGGGTACATTCATCAATTTAACAAAAAAAATAATTTACTACAAAACATTGGGTACATTCTCTTACAAAAAATTTACTATATAAAATTAGTACCTTCTTCGAATAAACCTCACATGGATGCATACAAGGTTTATTCTATGACTGAAAAAAAAAAAAAAACATATGGGTAAACCTCCTATGACTGAAAAAAAAAACATATGGGTAAACCTCATATGGACTCATGTTATGTTTTCATGTTAAGTGGGTACAATATTTATTGATATATGGGTACATTCTAGGACCCAAAAAAAAAAAAAACAAATAGGTAATTGATATGGGGTACATAATATAAACAAATGTTGAATGCACCTCACATTAAAATTTGATATTAAATAACTTATTTACCCTATTATGCAATGACAATTTTGACTGTAAGATCCCACATCGCCCAAGGGTGAGGATCCTGTAAGCCTTATATGTATATTCCCATCTCTACCTAGCACGAGGCCTTTTCGGAGCTCATTGGCTTCAGGTTCCATCGGAACTCTGAAGTTAAGTAAGTTCAGTCGAGAGCATTCCTATGATGGGTGACCCACTGGGAAGTTCTCGCGTGAGTTCCCAGAAACAAAACCGTGAGGGCGTGGTAGAGGCTCAAAGAGGACAATATCGTGCTACGGTGGAGTCGTGCTCGGGATGTGGTGGGGGCCTGGGCGGGGATGTGACATTGACCTTATTAGGTTTTTTAATAAAATAAAATTTTCTAAATACACCCCAAATCAATTTTGACCTTATTATGTCTTGATTGTGATTGATTTATGTTCCACAAACTGAACTGAAATAAAGAGAAGGCTTTATGTTTCTGTGTCTCCTGCATTGGAAGGATCCTTAAAAATCAAGAAAAAACTGCATGAAGCACATCAATTGGAGATGCCTAAACTGGTGATTGTTTCTAGAAACGGATCAAGAGCAAAAACCAATGAGGACTTGTTGGTGGAAATGGCTGAGAAAGTTGGGTTTGAAGTCAAAGTTCTTAGACCTGATTCGAGGACCGAGTTGGCGAAGATTTATTGGGTTCTTAATTCTAGTGATGTCGTGATAGGGGTTCACGGTGCTGCCATGACACATTTTCTGTTCATGAGACCTGGCTCTGTGTTGATCCAAGTGATTCCTCTTGGAACTAGTTGGGCAGCAAAGGCATACTTTGGGGAACCTGCAAGAAAGCTTGATTTAAACTACATCGGCTACAAAATTCTTCCCACAGAGAGCTCATTGTACGACAAGTATGTTAAAGATGATCCTGTTCTTAAAAATCTAGCAATGAAAGCCATTGCTGATGTTACCCTACTTAACGAAGGTAGACATCTGTCAATGCAAACTATACTAAGATGATTTCAAATCATCATTTTGAAATCATTCAGCAAACTAAACTTTCAGATGATTTGAAATCTTTAGTCAAACTAAACGTTCAAATGGTTAGATTCAGTCCCTGAAAATTAAAAATGAGTGTTATAAAATTTGAGAGATGTGGGGTGTATAGAAAATGTGGGTGTATGTACAAAATATAAGGTGTATATTGAGAATGTGGGGTGTGGGGGTATTATGGGAAAGTAAGTGGGGTGTATTAAGATAATTTTTAAATGAAAAAGAAAATGTGGGTTGTATTAAGTATGTGAGGTTTATTCAACAACCTAAATTGTATTGAAAAAGTAATTAATGTAAGATGATAATTAGTTGCATGAAATAGAGGAGTTAAACACTCAATTAAATTCTCATTTATAATAAAACAATCTAAAATGCTGATGTGAAAATAACTCAAGGACTTCAATCAAAAGTTTAAAGGACATAAGGTTTCAATCAAGAAAATGTCATCACTAGGGATTGGAACCTAATTTTTCCTTAAAAAAATAACATACATTAACACTAATTTGCTGAGGTGTACATAATTCAAGAACTTTAATCAAACATTGAAAACCAATAAGGTTTCAATTAAAGAATATTGAAAAGTAAGGACTGCATCCAAAGTTTCCCTATTATAAATGGGGCAGCAGGTTAGAACCTATGGAGCAAGTAAATCACACGAAAAACAGAAAAAAAAATAAAAAAGGAGACAAGTGAGCATGATCATCCCATTTAACATGGCAGCAATCCTACCAAACCCTTTTGCATTGAAATCTAACAGCAACCACCGTTACTTGTGCTACGGAGCAGGCAGGATTCTCCAATTCACAGGGCAGGATCCTGCCCCATTTTTCACAACGGAGAATGCACAAACCCCCGGATACATGCATATCAAGTACAATGCAATCGGCAAATACTTGGTAAGGGTGCCGGGTCAAACTCGACCGCTATTGAAGATCGTGGCCACCGCTGATACACCAAACGAAAACACGACCGATGACAATTGCACTTTGTTCGAGTCTGAGAATGTCGGACCAAATACCCCCACACAAGTGGTCTTCCGATTTCGCCAAGTGCAGAGCAAGCTCTATATAAGGCCAAACTATGTGCAAGGTTTAGAAGGTGTCCTCTGTGCATTGGATGCCAACACTGACGTCAATGGAGTAGCGGATCTCCTTACAGCCGTTGGGCCTCGTTGATCAAATTACCACGTGATGTTTGTGGGTAACGTCTCTGGAAACCCTCACGAGACTTCATTAGTCCCATACGGATCACCTATGGGTGTAAAAGGCTTGTTGCATTCGCTAAATGCAATCGAGTTCCCTACGAAAGTGGCATTAATTTTCATCACAAGTTTTTCGTTTTTTTTATTTTTTATTTTTTTAAGTATTTTAGTTTCACTGATTTGTATGTATTAAACCAATAAACACAGATCACATGATTGCCTCAGCTGTGGTTATGTCCTTTGTGCATTTGTGTGTTCAATAAAAGTTGTGTTTCTTGCGAAATCCGATGGGTTGTAGGGTGATATCTTGCATTAACTTAGGGGTTTAATCTAGTTTCATGCATCTTAAACCAAACAATATGACAGGCCTGAGAAAACTTCGTGAATGTGAAAATATAAAATTTCTGTAAATGCGTCCATAGTTTCCGTAAAGTTGTCCATATCTTTTTCTTTCCAAATCAAACAGTGTAAATCATTAATAGGAGACATAAGGGCATCTACACTGGAGAGATGCTAATGCATGTGAAAATCATATTTACATCTCATTTTACAAATCCAGAAGATGTAAATATGCATGAATTCTATTCCCAATGAGAAATATGCAAGTTTGACATCCCATTTATTTTCTTTATGTGATTGGCAGGATTGTCACAAAAAGATGTAAAATTAGGTTTTGATTCTAGCCAAGGTAGATATTTTACATCTTTCCATTGGAGGAGAAATGTTAGTATGCCGGAAACGCACCCAGGTAGACCAAGTGTAATACAATTGGTTGGAAACTTGAAAAGAAAATTTTAATAAATTATATTATTACAATTGGTGTACTAGGCGGTGGCGGAGCCAAAAACATCTCTCAAGAGGGGCCTTTAAGACATATAAAAGAAATTAAATCAAATACAACAATATACTTAATTGGAGAAAATTTAAGGTTTTTGCTATTGGCATGGAGAATTTATCAAACAAGAGTAATGGGGCCTTAAAACTTTGCAAAATTGAGTATTGAGATGATTATATTATAAGAACATGATTTGTTTATTTATAAACTTTCAAGATGGGCTAAGCCTAAACTAGCCTTCATGTGGCTCAGCCACTAGTACTAGGCCATGTTTGTTTAATTAAAATGACAATGTCACTTCCACTCTAGTGTTACTATCATGAAAAAAGTTATTATTGTGAATATATTGAAGTAGAAAAAAAACTAAAGATACAATAAGTTAGAGGGGACATGAAGCCATACCTTAACAATAAGTAGAAAACTATTAGAATAAAAAATCAATTAGACAACTCCTAAGAGTATCGAAAGTAGATTATGAGCAAAAGCCGCAACTGCACACGACAAACAAGAATCATTGATAATGACACCATAGTTGCCAAACAATACGCCACCTAATTTCTTTTGAAATAAAAGTGTGAAAACTAAATTGCATGGAAGAGAGAATGGCAGAACAATTTTCCCAATCAACCAATAAACACCAAGACACTTGAGAAGATCCATTAGAAAGAAAATGCAATGCCAAAGAAAAATCACACTCAATAGAGCATACTAACCCTTCTCCAAAGCCATATAAACAACATGAATAATAGCTTTGTGTTCCACCTCTAAGGCAATACCAATTCCAAAAGATTCTACAAAGCATCCAAGACAATGGCTCAAGTGGTCACAAAAAATATCACCAAAACTAGTCATGCTAGGAGAACCACAAGCCACACCGTCAATGCTAACTTTTAACTTAAAAAACATAAGAGGAAAGCCAATGAACCTTATGAAATATAGATGTAATATAGATAGAGATATGAGTGAACCGTCAAGTGTATCCAAACTTGAGTTTATTTAGATGAATATAGATAGATAGAGATGTGAGTGAACTTAGATAGGAGTGTTGGACAACAATTAAGAAGTTAAAATAATAACAGAATTTGAAAAAACTAATTCTTTATGAACAAAATATGCTTACAATACATAATGAAATAATACAACAACAACACAGTCTTTTCCCACTAAGTGGGGTTGGCTGTATGAATCCTAGAACGCCATTGCACCGGTTCTGTGCTACGTCTTCCGTTAAATCCAAGTACTCCAAGTCTTTTCTTACAGTTTCTTCTAAAGTCTTCCTAGGTCTTCCTTTACCCATTCGGCCCTGAACCTCTTTCTCGTAATCGCATCTTCTAATCAAAGCGTCTGTAGGCCTTCATTTCACATGCCCAAACCACCATAACTGATTTTCTCTCATCTTTCCTTCAATTTCAGCTACTCCTACTTTACCTCGGATATCCTCATTCCTAATCTTATCCTTTCTCGTGTGCCCACACATCCAGTGAAGCATTTTCATCTCCGCTACACTCATTTTATGTACGTGTTGATGCTTCACCGTCCAACATTCTGTGCCATAAAACATTACTGGTCTTATTGCCATCCTATAAAATTTTCTGACACGCCCCAACCCAAATATCATAATGATACTTGGATGGCATGTGTTGGCCAACACTCGGAAGTGACTGTAAACACGAGAAATTCCTGAAACAAGCGACAAGAATACGTGTACAAAATATATTTTTTGTATTAATGATTTTGGGGTTACAATCTCTTTGTAATTTGGTCCTCTGATTCTATCTTCGAAGGGTGTACGTTTGTGGATGAATTGTTGATCCAAAGGGCCGTCGGGGCTTGATCTTAGGATGAACAGTTGATGAATGATGAACACTTTCTTCAAGGGGCCGTCGGGGCTTGATCTTGAGTTGGTGGGAGTTCTTCAAGGGCCGTTGGGGCTTGATCTTGAATTGGTGGAAGTTCTTCAAAGGCCGTTGGGCTTGATCTTGAAGGTTGGTGGATGAGCGGATCTTCAAGGGCTTTTGGGCTTGATCTTGAAGGTTGGTTGGATGTGAGGATTTGTTGAGGTTGTTGATCCAAAGTGGCCGTTGGGGCTTGATCTTAGGATGAACGGATGATGAACGATGAACACTTTCTTCAAGGGCCGTCGGGGCTTGATCTTGAGTTGGTGGAAGTTCTTCAAGGGCGTTGGGGCTTGATCTTGAAGGATGAACGGATGATGAATGAATCTTCAAGGGCCGTTGGGGCTTGATCTTGAAGGTTGAACGGATGATGAACGATGAACGGATGTGTGGATTTGTTGATCCAAAGGGGCCGTTGGGGCTTGATCTTAGGATGAACGGATCTTCAAGGGCTTTTGGGCTTAATCTTGAAGGATGAACGGATGTGTGGATGATGAACACTTTCCTCAAGGGCCGTCGGGGCTTGATCTTGAGTTGGTGGAAGTTCTTCAAGGGCCGTCGGGGCTTGATCTTGAAGGTGGATTTGACGAAGAACGAAGATTGCTTTCTTGATCCTTCGGGATTTGCTTGAGAGCTTTAGAGTTTCAAGGCTTCTTTCTTTCTTCCTTCCTTCTTTTCTTCTTTTCCTTTCTCCTTCTCCTTCTCCTTCTTTTCTTTCTCTCCCCAAATGAATGCCTTTGGCCTCCTATTTATAGAATTCCAAAACTTGATTTTTGGATTTAAATAATCAGATGAAATAAATCATTTCTGCCAGGTATTGACACGTGTCCTATTTGATGACTTTTCTAATTTATTTCGATTTTTCGTTGAGTCACACGCTACATGTAAAATTTATGTGATACGTGAGCGTTGAAATTTTAATTATTGGTCAACATTCATTTCACCGAAATTTTGATGTCTACAAATGCCCCCACTTCAAGGCGCGTCGTAGACATGTGCTTGTCACGTGTTGAAGATGCGTTTTGAAGTCCCTTAATGTAGATGTCAACCCAAGGGCCGTCGAGGCTTGATCTTGAATTGGGCTGGAAATTTCTTTAAGGGCCATCGAGGCTTGATCTTGAGTTCGACTGGAAGATTTTCTGGTTTCTTCCAATCGTTGATTTTCCACAGGCTTAATCTTGAACTGGACTGGAGGATTCTTTTGGTCTCCTCCGAAGGTCTGAACTTACTCCTTTGATCTGGAGTTGAATTTGATTCAAGGGTGGTGAACACTTGATTTTGAATCGGACTTTGTGATTTCTTCAAGGGCCATCGAGGCTTGATCTTGAACTGGGCTGGAGGATTCTTTTGGTCTCCCCCTATCGTTGATTTTCCTTTGTGCTACTCTTGAACTGGGTAGCAGGATTCATACACATGGCAGGCAAGCACGAGGTGGAAGTGATGACCTGTTTCTTTGTTCAATCTTTCCCCAATTCGTATTGAAGAGGGTAGATCGGAAAACTGACTCCAAGTGCCGTCTGATTGCTCTTTTCACTTTGCCATGCGAGTAATAACAAGGACAAAGGAAAGGACATGGGGAAAGCATGATATAAGATACCTTTGCTTTTGAAGAAGCAGCGAATGAATCAGCACATATATTTGTTGTGCTTGTCTCCACATGCTTTGATGTATCATTTTCACTTGTCTTACTTGCTCCCTTTGCAGAAGTGGTATTTCCTTATGCAGGTTTGGCATCTTCTCGTGTAGTATTTGTCCTCTGATGCAGGAATGGAATGCAACCTTTGCATTTAAATGGTGCTTCAAAACATTACTTCTCCGCGACGATGAGTACTCGAGAGCAATGCAAGGTAAGCAACCAGGCAAAGGTTCCAGGCAATCAGTTCCAGGTCGGAAGTTTGATTTCAGGTTCCGACTGATAACTCTATTTCCCCTTCTCCTGCATGTAAGAGCAAGGACAAAGAAAAGGACAGGGAAAAAGCATGATATGAGATACCTTTGCTTTCGCCCTTGATGATATGAGATACTTTTGCTTTTGAAGAAGCGGTGAATGAATCAGCACATGCTTCCATCTACCGTTTCCTCCTGGGTCATCTGTACTCCAGGCATCTGGTATCATCTTTGGGGAAGAGGAAAAAATTGAGTATTTTGAGATGTTTTGCTGGGAGTATACTCTCGGAGGTTAGGAAGAGTTGGGCATTTTTTTTTTCGCAGGTCTGCCTTGCCATAAAAGATGAAGGTCGACAT